AAAATCTGGAGGAGAAAAAAAAAAAAAAGCCCTATCTGGCTTGGTTCACTGGTTAGAGCATTGGCCTGCAGTCCAGAGAGTCCCAGGTTTGGTTCTAGCTAAGGCACATACCCCAGTTGCAGTGTGTCTCCGGCCCTGGTTGGGTCATGTGGTGGCAGCCACTCAATGTGTCCCTTTCACGTCGATGTTTCTCTCTCTCTCGTGCGCTCTATCTGAACAAAAAAATGAAAAAAGTGTCCTCAAGTGAGGATAAAAAAAATAAAAAATAAAAAATAAATAATAATAAAAATAAAAAATCTGGAGGACCTTAAGGAGAAATTGACAGCAATACAATCATAGTAGGGGACTTCAACACCCCACTGATATCACTGGATAAATCCTCTAGACAAAAAATAGAACAAACAAACAAAACAAAGAAAGAGAGACCATAAATGATGCACTAGATCAGACAGATTTAATATATCTTTACAGAGAATTACACACCAAAACTGCAGAATATACATTCTTCTCAAGTGCACATGGGACATTCTCAAAGATAGACCACATGTTACAACACAAACTATGTCTCTACATTTTCAAGTGGATTGAAATCATATCAAGGATCTTCACATAACACAATAGCATAAAACTAGAAATTGACTACAATAAAAACACTCAAAAATATTGAAATATGTGGAGTCTAAATAGCAGGTTATTGAACAATGAATAGGTAGGTACCAAGGAGATCAAGGAAAAAATTAAAACTTTCTGGAAATCAATAAAAATGAACACACAACAACACAAAATTTGTGGGATGCAGCAAAACCAGTCCCGAGAGGGAAGTTTATAGGATTACAGGCCTACCTCAAGAACAGCCCTGGCCGGTTTGGCTCAGTGATTTGAGCATCAGCCTGTGGTACAGAGAGACCCAGGTTTGGTTCCTGCTAAGGGCACATAACTCAGTTACAGTTTGTCCCTGGCCCTGGATGGGTCACGTGGGTGGCAACCACTCGATGTGTCCATTTCACATGGATCTCTCTCTCTCTCTCTCTCTTTTTTTCCCCTCCCTTCCTCCCTCCCACTCTATCTGGACAAGAAATGAAAAAAGGTCCTTGAGTGAGGATTAAAAAAAAAAAAAAAGAAACAAGAAAAGTGTCTAATAGACTAGCTAACCCTACAACTAAAAGAATTAGACAGTAAACAAAAAGAAAAACCCACAGCAGAAAATAGAAGAAAAGAAATAAATGTCAGAGGCATAATTAAATGACATAGAGACTAAAAAAACAATTCAAAAGATCAGTGAAACCAAGAGTTGATTCTTTGAAAAGATAGACAAGATTGATGAACCTTTACCCAAACTCACTAACAAAGAGAGAGCCCAGATAAACAAAATCAGAAACAAGACAAATGACAACTGACACCTCAGAAATACAAAGGATTGTTAGAAACTACTACGAACAATTATATACCTACATATTGGACATCCTAGGTGAAATGGACAAATTCCTAGAATCACACAGTCTCCTAATACTGAACAAGGAAGAGTCATAAAACTTGAACAGATGAACAACAACTAAGGAAATTGAAGCTGTAATCAATAAACTCCCAACAAACAAAACCCCAGGGCCAGTCAGCTTCACAGGGAGTTTTACTGATCATTCAAAAAACAAACACCTATCTTCCTCAAACTATTCCAAAAAATTCAAGAGAAAGAAAGACTCTCAAGCTCTTTTCATGAGGCCATCATAATTCTAATTCCAAAACCAGATAAAAACACTACTAAGAAAGAAAACTAAAGGCCAATGCCCCTGATAATAACCGATGCAAAAACCCTCAACAACAGAAAAAATAGCAAATTAGATGCAGCAATACATTAAAAAAGTATTCATCATGACCAAGTGAGATTCATTCCAGGAATGCAAGGCCAGTACAATATTTGAAAATCAATAAATGTGATATACCACATAAACAAAATAAAAAATAAAACTAAAAACATTTCCCTGAAGAATAAGAATAAGACAGGGATGTAAACTTTTGCCACTCTTATTCAACATAGTACTGGAAGTCTTAGCCACAGCAATTAGACAAGAAGAAAAAAGATAAGGCATCTAAATAGAAAAGGAAAAAGAGAAACTGTCATTATTCACAGATGATATGATATTATACAGAGAAAACCTGTATGACTCAATAAAAAATCTACCAAGTAATAATTTAATTCAACAAAGTAGCAGGATAAAAAATTATCGTCCAGAAACCAATGGCATTCTTATATACCAATAATGAACACTCAGAAAAAAAAAAAAAAATTCCATTTACCATGGCAAAAAAAAACACGTAAGATACGTAGGAATAAAATTAACCTAAAAAGAAAAAGACCTGATCTTGGATAACTACAAGACATTGAAAAAAAAAACAGAGAAAGATATAAAAAAAAAGTGGAATCATATACCATGTTCATGGATTGGAAGAATCAACATCATTAAAATGTCCATACTACCCAAAGCATACCATAGATTCAATACAATCCCTAGTAAAGTACCAACAGCCTATTTCAAAGATCTAAAAAAAATACTCCAACAATTTCAATGGACCCAAAAATGGTCTCAACAAGCCTGAAAAAGAAGACCAAAGTACGGGGGATCATAATACCAGATATCAAGTTATACTACAAAGCTATCATAGTCAAAACAGTCTGGTACTGGCACAAGAACAAGCATATAGATAAATGAAACAGAACAGAGAACCCAGAAATCAACCCAAGACATTATGCACAAGTAATATTTGACAAAGGAGGCAAGAGCATATAATGGAGAATAGACAATCTCTTCAATAAATGTTATTGGGAAAATTGGACAAATACATAGAAAAAAAATGAAAGTAGACAACCAACTTACACCATACATAAGAATAAACTAAAAAGGATAAAAGACTCAAATGTAAGTCATGAAACCATAAAAATCCTACAAAAAAATGTAGAAAGCAAAAACTCAAACATTATATGCAGCAGAATTGTCACGCATACATTGCCTAGGGCAAGAAAAACAAAGAAAAACATTAATAAATGGGACCACATACAACTGAACAAAAGGACATATGAAAAAATGTTCAACGTCACTTATCAACAGAGAGATGAAAATTAAAATGACTATGAGGTATCACCTAACGCCTGCCAGAATGACTACCATCATCAAATCTTCAAACAAGTGCTGGTGAGGATGTGGAGAAGAGGTACTCAAGTATACTGCTGGTGGGAATGCAGATTGGTGCAGCCACTATGGAAAACAATATGGTGTTTCCTTAAAAAGTTAAAAATGGAACTGCCATTTGACCCAGTGATTCCACTTCTGGAATATATCCTAAGAAGCCTAAAACACCAATTAGAAAGAATATATGTACCCCTATGTTCATAGCAGCACTATTTACAAAAACTAAGTACTGTAAACAACCGAAGTGCGCATCAGTACAAGAGTGGATAAAATAAACTATGGTACATTTACACAATGGAATACTATGCAGCTGTAAGAAAGATCTCTTTTACCCTTTGCAACAATATGGAGGGACCTGGATAGTATTATGCTGAGTAAAGTAAGCCATTCAGAGAAACACAAAGTACCACAGGATCTCATTTATGAAATATCATGAACAATATAAGATGATGATCAAAGTAGATCCAGTGACATGAAAGTAGGGAACAGACTGACAAACCTCAGAGAGAAGGGAGTTAGGGGGTGGAGGAGAGAAGAGAAGAGATAAATTAGTGGAAATTAACACTAGTTTAATTAGTGGAAACATACACTAGTTTGGGGAAAGCAAAGGGTGGAAGTGGAGAAGAGGTAGGTCAATGGGTGATAAAATGGAAACATCTGTAACAAAAAAAAAAATTAATAAAAATTGCAAAAAAATAAAGTATATAAACTAGACCTCAAAAAAATAAAGTAAAATAAAAGAGATGCTTCTATTAAAAAAAAAGGGGGGGGGCATCTATAATACTTTCAACAATAAAGATAAAAATACATACATACATACATGCATACGTACGTACAAACATACATACATACATACATAGTGGGACATTATTGAAAACAAATTTTTAAATAAAAAATAAAGTAAATAAATTATGACATTAAGTGAAAGAAGCCAGTCACAAAGGATTGCAATGTGTGTGACTGTATATATATAAAATATCCAGAATAGGTAAATCTATAGAGACAGAAAGTACACAGGTTGTTTGTTGCCCAGTGCCGGGCAAGAAGAGAAGCTGGTAGTGACAGTTAAGAGATGTAGTATTTGTTTTTGGAGTGATAAAAATATTCTATAATTGACTGAGGTGATAGTTAAGTGTACAACTCCCTTAAATATGTTAAAAAATACTGAATTGTACAATTAAAATGAACAAATTATACAATACATGAATTATATCAATACAGTTTTTTAAATAAATTCAATGGGAATCTAGATTTAATTTTCTTAATTATCTGTTGTGGGTGAACATACTATAATAATCTATTTCCTTGCTTTTACACTGTTTCTAAGTGAGAGAACATGAAGGATATGCTTACTTCAACCGGTTTGTATAATGACCTTCCCATACAAGTTATTCTGAAATCTACAAAATAAATACAGATTCAATATCAATTCACCAAAGTGAAGATAATAAAAAAATTTCTGGAACATTCTATTAAGCAAATCCTCTGATTTTATCTGGCTGCTTCATCATGATAATGAAGATATTAATAAAAATATTGTTTAAGAGAAAAAAATGTCTCTTGACTTCTATCAAGAGGGATGAATAAGTCTCAATTTTCTTAAGGGTAAATATGATAAAAAATAACATAAAATACAAATGGCAGAATTAAAGCCAGGGTTTAAAAAAATAAGTGCATTATAAAGATAATAAAATTATAGATAATTAATTACAATAAAAATACAAAAGAAAGCTGCCCATGAAAATTAGTACCCTAAACTACTTTATATTTAACCAGCTATAGATTAACTGATGACATGTTAAATTTCATACATACTTGACTTCTGTTTTTATCTAATTTCTTCTTTAAATCCTGTATCTCATCTTCTAAATTCATGCAATCATGTGATGTAACCTCCAGTGAAGCCTCTGACATAGATTGTTTTTTAAGAGTATCAGCCAGTTCTTGTTGAAGTTGTCTCACAACTGCCTAGTAAGATATTTCTGTTACTTATTTTATAAATCACATTATTAAATTATGTTAATACAATATAATTTCACATACAGGATGAGGCAAAAGAAGGTTTACAGTTGTGAATATGCAAAACAGAGTTTATTCTTGTATTGTTATTTATTATTTTTCATAAAACAACTGCAAACCTGCTTTTGCCCTATCCTGTTTGTACTTAATTAGAGTCATATATTATTTTTAACATAATATATAACTGGAAAAATATCACCACATACATCAATTCACCTTCTTTTTCTCACATGGACATGTTTCTGATTGCTTACTCAGGTTGAAGACACAGAAAATGTAACCCTCCTGCCTAATCAGTATTAGGTTTCTTAGACAACTGATTCAGCCCCACTCTAATTACCCCCCTCATGAATCTCAAAGCTTTACAATCTACTGACATCTCAAAGAGAAACAGGTATGTAGGTGGATCAAGTGGTAGTAAATTCACTACATTGTGGAACATTTTCTCTTTCTTTTCTTTGATCAGAGGCTTCAATTAACTTCAGAGTTCCTCACATATTCAATTTCCTGCTCAAATCCTTCCAATAGATTCCTATCTTAGAAGAAAAGTGAAGTCATTCCAATGGCTGTCAGGACCCTAGGTAACCTGGCCTTGACCTCCCTCCCTGCTACACATAAATCCTGCCACCCCTCTCACTAGTCTGAAATGGAGATCCAATGACAAATTAATAAATCACAGAGAGCTACAATTTTCTCTGTATTAGACAAACATCTCCAAATGATAGTAATTGGGCCTTGAAATAAGAAATGTGAGCAAATTACTTGTAAAAATATATTTTTTAATTGTAAATAGTACTGGAAACATTAAATCAAGTACAGTTTTGCTAAAATTTATCATTTGTCCCAAATGATGATTTAATAAAAAGTAGATGCCTTTAAAAGAGTTGAGGAGTCATATGAATATATTACTTGAGACTGAAATATTTTCAAATTTAATTCAAATTGACATGAATAAAAATAACATTATACCAACTAAAATGTATCAGAAGCCACTGAAGGAAAGATACTATGAGATACAGCATCTACACTTCAGTTCATCTGGGAAATCTGACATTAATTGTCAAGACAACCACTTAATTAAATCTTAATTTCAAAATACTCACTTTAGCATGAGCATTTCCATTTACCTGCTTCCTAATAATATTAAAATGTGGTGACAGAAAGATTAAAATTAGGTCCTGGCTGGTTTGGCTCAGCAGTTAGAGCATTGGCCTGCGATCCAGAGAGACCCGGGTTCGGTTACCATTAAGGGCACGTACCTCGGTTGCAGTTTGTCCCCGGCCCTGGTTGGGTCGTGCGGGTGGCAACCACTCTATGTGTCCTTTTCACATCAATGTTTCTCTTTCTTTCTCTCCCTCCCACTCTATCTGAACAACAACAACAAAAAAGTGTCCTCAGATGAGGATTAAAAAAAAAGATTAAAATTAGTATTGTATCATATAAGACTAAATTAGTAATTGCAATCTATATCTATTAACTATCTATAACTTAACCTCTTAAAATTTCACAGGCAACACAATGTCTTTATTCAAAATAAAGCACCTCTCAGGTCTAATGTTCATTTGCTGGATACAATGTCTGCTTTTAAGCTGATAGAGCAAACACATTTATAATCTATATATTTTTAATATTCAACCAGATTCAACATTTAGCCATCATCATATATTACTTTGAATTTTCTTTTAGGAAATTTGAAATCTATTTATCAGTTTGGATACTTACATCTCTTTCTGCTTTATCGTTTTCATACTCATGTATTATTTCTTTTAAATGAATACATTCATTGGTTAACTCCTTATTTCTTTCATTCAGCATAAGACCTTGTTTTTCATTTTCGGTTTGTAGTATTTTTATGATATCCTGAAACTGATCTTGGATATTAATTACTGTCTTTTCTTTATCATCAGCTTTGTTGTGAGCATCATCCAGTTGCTGTCGAAGCAACTTATTTTCACTTTGTAGGTGAGATAACTTCTCCTCTAAGGATCCCTGCTTTCCAACATATTTATTCACTTTACCTTGTTGCTTTTGATGTATGTGTTCCAGTTCCTTCTTTTGACACTGTGTTTGGCTTAGGTCTCTTTGTACACCTTCTAAAACCAATGTCCTTTCTCTGAGAGCATCTCTTGTGTGCTTAAGCTCACTTTCTAGGCTACTGAATTTACTTTCAGCTTTAGAAAGTTCTTGACAAAGACTCTCATTGTTATCTTTTAGGTTAGACATATCAAAATTCATTTTGTCTTGTAAACAAAACCATTCATCTCTTTCTCTCTGGAAAGCAAGTTGTAGGTCTCTTTGTGATGCCTGACATTGCTCATGATCCTGTGTAGCAGTAGCCAGCCTAGACTTGTATGATTCAACTTCTGTTTCCAGTCTTTCTCTGTTTTGTTTTTCATTCTCCAGTTTAGAATTTAGCATTGTATTCTCAGCTGTTGGAATATTAAGCTGTTCATTATGTTGAAATATTGTTTTTGTTAATATTTCTTCATTATGTTTTATTGTCTTGTGAAGATGCTCATTCTTTTCTTTGACAATTTTAATGTCTTCAAAATATTTTTTTTCCATTTCCTGGTTCTGATTTTTTACTGTGTCTATTTCCAGTCTTAGCTTGGCATTTTCATCCTGTAACATGTGATTTTCATGCAACAGATATTCTTTTTCATAATTATCAGAAACCTAAGTAAAACAAAGGAGACTTTTACCTAACACTCATTGAAATGACATATTATGATATCCTCTGAAATTAAAGAATAACCTATATGTTTATATAATACAAAGATTGCAATAAGTAGATATTCCACTGGAAAAAATAGAGTTGGATCCAAACCTCCAAATTTATACAAGCATAAACTCCTCAAAGTTCAAAAATTTAATATAAGACAATGAATCCATGAAAGTAAAAAGAAAATCATAAAGGAATTTTTAACGTTCTCAGAATTGGAAAGGCCATTCTCTGAATTATCACAAACCCGGAAAGCACAACACAGAAGATGAATAGCCCTGGCCAGTTTGGCTCAGCAGTTAGAGCGTTGGCCTGCGGACCAGAGAGTCCCAGGTTTGGTTCCCGCTAGGGGCACATACCAAAAAAAAAAAAATAGTTGAGTAAATCTGATTATATTTATAAATTTAGTGTACAGTCTCAGCCCTGGCCAGTGCAGCTGCTCAGATGGTTGGAGCGGTGTCCTGTGGACAGAGGGTCACAGGTTTTATTCCCAGTCAGGGCCTACACCAGGGTGCAGGTTCAGTTCCTGCTCGGTGCTAACCGATTGATGTTTCTCTCTATCTCTCCCTTTTTCACTTTCTAAAACAAATAAAAAAAAAACTTAAACAAACAAAACAGAAAGTGTAGGTTCACAGGACTTGTCTTAGCAGGGTGGAAATCTTTATTAAAAATAAAAAACAATGAATAAATAATTGACTGTACAGTCTGAACATACAGCTTCTCCACAGTAAGAGTATTAACCTTGCACATATTAGGATAGACTAAATTTTCTACCCATTTTTTTTCCCATTTATCTTCAGATAGAGTGGGAGGGAGAGAGAAACACTGATGTGAGAGAGACACATCAACTGGTTGCCTCCTGTATGACCCCAACCAGGGCTGGAGATGGAACCACAACTGAGGTACATGCCCTTGACTGGCATCAAACCCATGACTCTTTGGTCCACAGAGGCCGACACTCTAATTACTAAGCCAAATTGGCCAGGGCAGTTCTTTTTTTCCAAGGATATTCCATAGATACTCTACTTTTCTTATACTTTCATACTCGGTTATAAAAACTAGCTCTACTAATAACTGATGACCTGGGCATTGTCCTAAGCATTTCTACATACTGTACATCAATACACTCATTCAGTTATCACAATCTGGAACTGAGAAATTAAGAAGATACACAAGTTCAAGATTTTCCCCAGGTCTTCTGACCACAATCTGTGCTCTTGTACCAATCCACAGCTCTTCTCTAGTGTGAATACAGAACACAGCAGAAGCTGTGTATTTCAAAACACCACTGGGAAAGAAGATACAGTTTGTAGAGCTCTTCTTAGAGAATCATGAGATTATTTGTTGCTACTATAACTTTTATTTCTTTTTCATGATGTTAAAAGTAGTGATAAATGTGAAATGGGGGGAATGCACTTTACTAGGAATAAAATCAATAAATTATCAATAAATTATTACTAAGGATACATTATGGCAAATCATCTTCAAAAGCTCCTTGTACTAAAGTAGAAAAAGTAACAGTAAACCTGTTACTGTTCTCAAAAGTAGAATAACAACATCTAAAATATAATCTCTAAACAGGCTATACTTTTCCTCCTCACCATTAGTGGAAGTGAAAACTAACTCTTAATATATCAAGGGTATGAAATCACTGCCAAAACCTAGAACATCTGTTGTTAGTAGCAATATTTTTGAGATTATGGAAAGCTCAATTCATATGGAAAATATTAAAAGCCCTCTGTCCATGAGGCCATAGTGAATGTCACTATTTCACTGTTGAAGACAAATGGATTTGAATTAATATCACTTTATCCAATAGACCAAAAATGCCACCCATTTAAAAATTGAATTTACAATCTGTATATACAGCGACCCCACAGTAAGAATTTTAACTCTGCATTTTTTGGATAGATTAAAGTTCCTATAATTCCTTTTTCCTGAGAACCTTCTATATATAGACTACTTTTCTAATATTTTCATAGTACAACTGACTAATAATTGATCATCCAGACAATGTACTAAGCACTTCTTTATACATCATTGAATTCATCTAGTTATCACCATCTGGAATGGAGAGGTTAAAAAGACAAGTTCAGGATTTTGTGTTTGTGCATACAGTATTGGTTTCTTAAATATATACACACAAATACATACACAAAAGCATTTAAAAATGACTAAACAAAATACCTTAGAATGCATTTTCTTATGAGCTTTTTCTATCTTCTTTTGTTTGCAAAGGTGATTGGTCAGAATTCCATCTTGTAATATTCTGGCTGGCATTCTGTTCTTGAGGAAGTTGCCTCTGAATGTCATTTCGCTCTTCTACAACATAGGGACACATTTCATTAGTTTTTTGGTCTCATACCATTAAGAAAAGAAGTCATAAGTTTAAGAGCAAAACCTTTAAAAGAAAACTGTTTAAAGGAGATAGGTTTTTAAACACAAGGATCGTATCTTCCATGAAAAACGTAAATCTTAAGTTAAAGCATAATTAACTTGTCAGAGAGCAAAAGTACAGAACTGCAAAATAAAATTTCTTTACAAGACATCTGACTACTTCTATCAGGGTCTCAAGGCAACTTAGCCTGTATGTTAACATTTTAAAAAGCCAAAATTAACACTTATGTTAATGGTTAAGCTCAATTTACTTTCCATTTCTTCATTTAGAAAACATAAACATAGCATTTATTAGATGCCAAGAATTGCAATAAATTAATCATTTTAATTATATATGTCAGAGTTCATATTTGAATGAGATAACATTTTTAGATCATTTTAAACCTATATAATATACATTAAATCAAAGGGACATTATAAATATTGATGAAATACTGTTAGAAATAAGAAATGCTACCATAGATAAATTTACCTGATTTAAATTCTTCCTTACAATCTTCAGTTCCATCTCTAGTGTTCTAACAGTGGTTTCAAGTTGTTGGTTTACTTCAACTTCTTTAATATATTGCTCTTCTTTTCTTAACTGCTCCCTAATTTTGTCATATAACAAATTGGTATTTTTTCTCTTCTCCTTTTCTTCTAAGGTAAACCTGCAGTTAAATACACTTATCTTAAAATTTGTTTTATTAGAAAATAAAACGCTCATTTTATGATCTGGTTCTACATATGTTGGTTTATTATCCTAATTACATTTCTATTTTCTTGCATTTTTTTCCTTGCTGGCTTTCATGTTTTTTTTCTCACTTCAATCTCTTCCAAAAGTTATATATACCTGAAAAGCAGCAATGAAGAAACATTCTGCTACTTAGTAAGCTTTAGTCAATAGTAACTCTGGTAAATGATATAGGAAAGAAATTTTGAAATTATTCAGTAGAGCTGAAATTATCTTTTTTCCGCAGTCTTACTCTTCCACTAAAACAAACAATTTAGTTACTAATTAGAAAGAAAAGTTGTTTATAAACAAGTTTATAAATTTACTAGATGTAAAATTTCAGCTTGACCAAATACATAGGTACCCCTAAAATGCTTTACAGTATAAGTCAGCATGTGCAGATGTCTTTTACAGAAGACATATTCACTCTCTACTGTAACCCAAGACTAGCCTAGGGACTCTATTATCTGTTGCTCTACACTTTTTATGTTTCTTCTTTTGTAACACTTTTTTAAAATCCTCACTGCAGATATGCTTATTGATTTGAGAGAGAGAGGAAAGAGGGGAGAGAGAGCAAAACATCAGCGTGAGAGAGAACACTGATTGGTTGCCTTCTATACATGCTTCTATACAGTTTTGAACTCAAAACGTAGTTATGTGCCCTGATCAGGAATCGAACCCACAACCTTTCAGCACACTGGCCAGGACTCTTTTATAACATTTTCAACTTATCTTGTTTGTCATTATCTAATTATAATTCACTTTAAAATCCCTTAGTAGAACAAGACAGAATTCATATTAATTAAGCCAACAATAAAGAATAATATGAGTTTTCAGTATGGAACTTTTAACTAATTTTATCTATGTATAAGAAACATGCTGAATAAACTAATCAGCCATCACTTTCCATTTTACTTTTCATTCTATGCACATATTAAAACTAAGATTGTATTAGTTTATTAAAAAAATTTTTTTCTGTCTTGAGAAAAAGGGCCACACTTTGTTGGTGTGAATAAAAATGAATATGAACTGTCCTGAGAACAATTTAGAGATATAAACAATGCCCCATCCTTTTTTAAAGTTCTTACACATAACCAAATAATACTCTATTAAATAATGTATTCAGAGTATATAACCAAAAGTGTAAAAACAGACTTAAAAGAGACATTTCTGGCAGCATTAATTATAATACATAATAATAAAAAACAACCAAAATTCAATTTTTAAATAAATAATGAAGTTTCCATATGGTGGGCTTCTATAATGATCATTCAAATGATGATATAAAAATATATGTATATATTAACTTATTACTAGAAGTATGGACTATTAAAAATTGCTATATTACCCTGGCCGGTGTCGCTCAGTGGTTGAGTGTTGACCCATGCACCAAGAGGTCACTGGTTGATTACTGGTCAGGGCACATGCCCAGGTTGTGGGCCAAATTCCTAGGGGGGGGCATGCAGGAGGCGAACAGTAGATGTTCTCTCTCATTGATGTTTCTATCTCTCTCTCCCTCTCCATTCCTCTCTAAAAAAATTTAAAAAAATGTTTTTAATTGCTATATTATTTTAAAAAATATTATACTCTATAATACTAAAGAAGTGTTCTTCCCTATAAAATCTTAGAAGGTAAAAAGGCAGTTACAAATTTTTTTCTACACATAAGTAGAATAAAAGTAAATATTCAAATATTTCTTTAAAACTAAATTATTCAATACCTCAGATTGCAGAGTTCTTGTTCCCATTCTACTTTTTGATGCTCTGAGATTTCATTTCTTTTGTTTCTGATAGCTCCTTTTGTAGGCCACTAACTCTACTTTCCATTTTTTAATTTTTTCCAGTAAGTAGTTCACAGTGATTGTTTCTAAGTTCTATTAATCTTTCATATGAAAGAACTGCATCCTGGATTTTTAATAAGCTAATAGAATCTGCATCAGAAAGAAAACAAAAATAAAATATATATGAGTACTTTTACTGCACAAAGAACTGTGCATTTTCACACACTCATTCATTCATTGAACAAATATACACTGAGTGCCTACCGTGTGGGCGACATTACACCAAGCTCTGCAGATGAAACAGACAAGATCCCTGGCTCTTATTAGCTTAATGTCTAGTAGAGGAGAAAGACAAATAAAATGATCATTATAAATTTGGGTAGACACCATAAGAAAACAGAATTCTGTGATCACATGACAGAACCCAATCTAGAATGGGTCCCTGGAAGATCTCCCTGAAGAAGAGACAGCTACACTGACAGAGGATGAGCAGGAAGCAAGCATACAAAGGGAGGAGAGCATTCTGGACCATCTACAGCACGTGCCAAAGTTCTACAAAATCTGCTGGCAAAGTGGAGTAACAGGTGTTGATTTACCTTCTTACCTGAAACAAGCAAAAACAAAACAAACTATATATTTTTGGTGTTGTTGTTGAAAGTATTACAGATGTCCCCCTTTTCTCCCTATTGACCCACTCCCACCCTCTTCCTGCTTATCCCAACCTAATGTTTATGTCCATTGGTTGTGCATATATGCCTATAAGATCTTTCCACCCCTCCCCCCTCCATCCCTCTGAGGTTTGTTAGTCTGTTCCCTACTTCCCATGACTCTGATCTATTTTGGTCGGGGAAAGAAAAAAAATAAAAAGACTATCAACAGGTATATTAAATGGTTTGCTATTCTTCTAGGTTTTCTTTTCTTTTCTTTTCTTTTCTTTTTATTTTTATACAAGTCTAGGTTTGGGGGAACAATTTAAATATACCTATATTTTAACTACTTTATATGGAAATATTCAACTATGGATACAATTTCCTGGGAAACTATTTTTAATGAAAAGCTATTTGAAATACAAAATATTTTATTCAAAAATTTTCTCAATCTTTATGCCACAGAAGAGTCTTAGAGTTCTCTCTCTGTTATGCAAAACTGCAGAAAAAATATATATTAATTTTCATTTTATTATTTTTTAATCCTCACCCAAGGATATATATTTTTTTCAATTTATCTTCAGATAGAGTGGGACATAGGGAGAGAGAGAAAAAGGGAGAGATAGAGAGAGAAACAAGGGAGAGATAGAGAGAGAAACATTGACATGAGAGAGAGACATTGATTGGCTGCCTCCTGCATGACCCCGAAGATGACCAAGGACCAAACTGCAGCCAAGGTACATGCCTTTGACTGGAATCAAACCTACAACTCTTTGATCCATGAGCCAACACTCTAACTGCTGAGCCAAACTGGCCAGGGCAATTTTCTTATTTTCTTAGAGATTTGCAAATACATTTTTAAAAATGATGTACAAAGGAAAATGCTCTATAAATACCAAGTATTGTTAAAGCATAAATCAATCTTTTATCTGCACACACGCACACAAAACACTACATTTAAAACTTACTCTCAAGACAACAGACTTCAGGCAATAAACGACAATGATTCCTGAAACAAATGAAGTAAGCCTAACGACTGTCCCAGCTCACTGCCTTGAGAGAGAATTTCCAGGCCAGAACACAGGGAAAAGGAACTGAAGTAGAGTCCACCAGACTCCTTGAGTTAGGTGATGAAGCTGAGAGTCTGGTGAAACCAAGGCAGGTAGAGATCACAGGTCAGAACACTGGAGAGGAGGCTCTGGAACAGAAAAGAACCCTGGAGATCTGCAGAGGGCACTCAGCCAAGTAATGAACAAGGTACATGTGTGGGGGGTGGAAGGGAATATCTGAACAGAGTAGAGGAAACAGTGCCTGGTACTCACCCAGCACCAGAAATACTGTCTATTCCCTTCAGCCAGGCTGAAAAAGCTCATAACTCACAGGACAATGAACAGAGTAAGCATAGAGGTCTGGCCTCAGTAGTGGGGAATAATTAGCCTTCAGCTGAGCACTGCTCTGGATTCACTTAACAAATCATAAGAGCAAGACTGAAAAGGATTTAACTGTTTATAAGTAACAACTATATCCCAAAACAAAGCTCAGAAATATACATAGAAATATGGAACTTAGGTTATTAAAATCAAATACCACTTATAGAGATGCAAATTATAATGTCCGACATGAAAAATACACTGGGTGGGAATAAATGCATATTAGACATCACAAAATTAAAAATTAGTAAATTTGTCATCAGTCACTTGAGAGAAAACTTAAATGGCTAGTGTATAATTTCCCAAAGAAGCAGGAGGAAGGGACAGAAAGTATTTGAAGAAACAATGGCCAAAAAAGTTTCTAAACTTAATGAAAAATATAACCACAAAGATCCAGGGCAGATATGTGTAGGAGAAAAGAAATGGAAGTAAATTACTGTAATTTTTTAATATTACATATGATGTGCTATAATATTACTTAAAGGTAGAATGTGATCACTTGAAGTCATTTACCATAAACCAACCCAGAGCCAACCACTAAAACAGCAACAATTATAGCTAATAAGCTCTCCCCAAAAAAAGAAATACAACTAAATCATAAAAATTACTCAATTAATCTAAAAGAAGACAGAAGAAGATGAAAATAAGAGCAAAGATGAGATGTGACCAAAAAATATCAAACAGTACAAATGGCAGATTCAAACCTACTATATTGACAATCACATTAAATGAAAATTGCCTAAAAGCACCAATTAAAAGACAGATATTCCAACTGGATAAAACACCAAGACCCAACTATATGCCACCTGCAAGAAATGCACTTTAAATATAAAGACACAATTTTTTTAAATTTAGAAATAAGATATATGACACTAACACCTAACAAATGAAAGCTGAGGTAAGGTAAGTGACTATCTTAACACCAAAGTAGATTTCAGAGCAAAAAGTATCAGCAATTAACAAGGTCACTGTTTGATGCTAAATTAATAAACAGCATAACAATCCTAAATGATTATGCACTTAATAACAGCTTCAAAATATATGAAACAAAAATTGATACAACTCAAAGAAAAATAGACAAATTCACAACTACAGTCTGAGATTTTTTCTTTCTTTCTACTTTTGTTAATCCTGACCCAAGGATATTTTTTCATTGATTTTTAGATAGAGTAGAAGTAAGGGAGGAGGAGAAGGAGAGAGAGGGAGAGAGAGAGAGAAGCATGGATGTGAAGAGACGTATCAATTTGTTGCCTCCCGTACATCCCGACAGGGGCCAGGGATTGACCTGCAACCCAGGTATGTGCCCTTGACCAGAAATCAAACTCACGACCCTTTGGTCCATGAACCAACATTCTAACCGCTGAGTCAAACCAGCCAGGACTACAATCTATGATTTTTAAAAATTTATTTATTGTTGACACTATTACAGATGTCCTCAATTTCACCCCCTTTATCCACCTCCACCCAGCCCCCGTCCCCTCTCCCTCTGGCCATCACCACACCGCTGTCTGTGTCCATGGGCTATGCATATATCTATTTTGGCTAAGCTATTCACCTTCTTTTTCATCCAGTACCCTACCCTTTCCCCCTGACCTCTATCAGTCTTTTCCATGTATCCATGTCTCTGGTTCTATTTTGTTGGTTAGTTTAAATTCTTCATTAGATTCCACATATAAATGAGATATGATATGTGTGTGGCTTATTTCACTTAGCATAATAATCACCAGGTTCCATACTGTCTCAAAGGATAAGACTTTTCTCCCTCTCTCTCTCTCTTTTTTTTTTTTTTGATATGTGCCCTTAGTGGAACTGAACCCAGGACTCTCTGGTCTGCAGGCCGACGCTCCAACAACTGAGCCAAACCAGCCAGGGCAAGACTTTTCTCTCTTTTACAGCCACATATTATTCCATTGTGCAAATATACCACAACTTTTATTCCTACTCATCTACTAATGGGCATGTGGACTATTTCCAGATCTTGGCTATATTAAATAACACTTCTGTGAACATAGGGGTGCATATAGTATTTCTGATTGGTGTTTCAGGCTTCTTAGGATGTATTCCCAGAAGTGGGATCACTGGGTCAAAAGGAATTCCATTTTTAACTTTTTGAGGAAGATCCATACTGTTTTCCACAGTGGCTGCACCACTCTGCATTCCCACCAATACACAAGGGTTTCCTTTTCTCCACATTTTTGCCAGTACTGTTGTTTGTTGATTTATTGATAGTAGCCATTCTGTCAGGTGTGAGGTGACATTTAATTGTAGTTTTAATTTTCATCTCTGATGAGATGATTAGTGACATTGAGTATTTTTGCATTTCTACTGACCACCTGTATGTCTAAGATTTTAATACTACTCATGCTAAGTGATAGAATAAGTAGGCAAAAAAACATCCCAAGTACTCATGGAATACTTTAAAAAAAAGACTATATTCTGGGTTATAAAATAAATCTTAATAAAAAGAGTCAGTCAAAAGAATGTAAGTCATATAATGTATTGACCACAAAGCAGCCAGACTGAAAATCTAAAACAAGAATATCTCTGGAAAATATTCAAATGTTTGGAAACTAAATTATATAAGTCATCACTGGGTAAAAAAAAAAAAAATGAAAGCCCTGGCCAGGTAGATCAGTTGGTTAGAGCATCACCCCGATACACCAAGGTTGTGGGTTGATCTCTAGTGAGGGCACATGTAAGAATCAACAGATGGAGGGAGGCAAGATGGCTGAAGCCTAAGGAAGTTTCTTCTGTCCACTTGCTCCAAGCACAGGACCAAACTTGAAGCCATACTACAGAACATTCAACTTAAAAAACCACCTGATAATATTTAATTGGGAAATACTGCAAGTGGGGAGCATGGAGCGGGGACAGGAGAAGAAGCAAAGTGGGTGAGTGAACTCAGGCAGCTGTGCAGCACAGCTGGGAAGATGGAGGGAAGGTACAGCAGCGAAGCTCCCACCCCCTGGGAGAAGGGGGACTCAGCCCCACACAGAGATCCCTACATGAGAGCAACAGAGAAGGGAATGGGAGCCCACGTATCATCAACAGTGGGAATCAGAGGTGATTCGGC